TTATTTCCTCTCCCTCTAGACATCTCATTAGTCACAAAATAAAGGAAAAACACAGTGCCAGGAGAATAAGTTGAAAAGAGATACTTTTTAATAAATCCTGAGACAAAAAAGTAGATAAAAAGTGGTAAATAACAGAGAAGCACAACTATGATGCCTAAAGAAAGTGACTGGAAGCCGGGCAAGGAGGTTCACACCTATAACCCTACCACTTTGGGAGGCCATGGAATTCAAGACCAGCCAGGCCTACATGGTGAAACCCCATCTCTACTAAAAATACAAAAATCAGCTGGCTGTGATGGCAGTTGCCTGCAATACCAGCTACTCAGGAGGCTGAGCAGAGAATCGCTTGAACCAAGGAGGCGAAGATTACAGTGAGCTGAGATGTCACCACTGCACTCCAGCCCAGGTGACAAACCAAGACTCTGTCTTAAAAAAAGAAAAGAAAAAAAAAAGAGAGAAAGTGACTGCAACAGAAGCGAGCAGTTTGTCTTGTAGAACTAAAGGTGGGCTGTGAACTTAGAGGCAAATAGCACTTTAAAAAGTAGTGCAAAATGTAAAACAAAGCCACCAAGGTCAGTTGAAAATCTGTGGTTAGAGACTCACATCCACCTGTTCTCCCATCTGATAAGAAACTTAGATGTGTTTTCCCTGGATATATCAAACCTGAGAATTTCTGTCTCCCAACTACCAAAGATTAAACCTGAGACATAAAGAAAACTATACACCAAAAATGGAACTCCAACTTGCTTCCCTAACTCTGCTTTTGGAAAGCAAGTAGTCAGGCAGAAACTTAAAAGAACATTCTCAAGAAACTAAACTGTCTTGAATAAAGATCCCCAGGTAATACACTGAGGTCTCCCAAATGAAAAGCTAGTTGCTTCCACAACCTCACACTGAGTGCCATCAGTTAACAAAAGTCCTGCTTCCAAATCAAGCAAGCAAGCCAGGGACCACCACACATTGGAGTAAAGACTACAACAAGAGAGACTAAAACAACACACAAATTCATGGGACCAGTCAAAATCAGGAGCAAAACTTTTTTAAAAAATGTTAAAACTCTCCAAAAATATATATATATAAAATTGAAGGGAAAAAATTGGAAACCAAAGCAGGTCTACTGGTCTAAGCAGTGTAGCGCCTGAGCATGACTATCAGAAAAAAGGAACAGAGAAAATAAAAAACATTCTCAAAAAGAGACTCTGCAGACTTAGTAGCCTCAGTAAAATGAAAAGATCCCCCGCCAAGCTGTTATTATAAAATTTCAGAATCTCAGAGATAAAAAAGCTCCAAAAAAGCTTCCAAAAACACATAAAAACATGGTTATAAATAACGTGTCATGCAATGGCAATAGATTCAAGAAAACAAGGTGATGAGAGCAGAATTGCAGAATATCTTCAGAACCATAAAATTTAGATTCAACCTAGGAGTTTACTCTCTATCAAGGAAGAAGAATTTTAAAACTGGTCAGATCTCTAAACATCTCTGCCCAGGAACGTGTGCTTAAGTACAACTAGAGAGGATAACAAGACAAAAAAAAAAACCAAAAACACAGAATCTAGGACTCACGTGATCCCACACAAGAAGGCAGTTATGTGAGATTCCCAAAAGACTTTAAAAAGATAGCACAGATAGACTAAAAGATCAAGTATATCTAGGTAAAGCCACTCTATACTAAACTAGGATGACAAAAGGCCAAAGAAAGGCTGCCCACCACCGGCCAAAAACAAAGAGGAACAGATATGTTTTAGCAGATGGAAAATATCTTTGAAAGGCATGTGATAAATGCTACGACACTTGAGTGTGTGTGTGGGTAATCAGCTGTTAGAAAACAGGCAAATGAATATAGTCAGAAAATCAGCTTCATGCTGAAAAATAATGGATGTAAAATGTAAATTATATGTAAAATATAATTTAACAATTATTATTTTTCAATAAAGTGACAGACCATCCAGAGGCTACGTATTGCATTTGGCTGGATAAACCAGCATAGGCCAGGAAAAAAAGATGATCCAGAAGAAGTGCATAAGTGCTCAGATTTCAGAACTGTTTCAGAGAAAAAATGAAGGAATATGTAATGAAGAGACACAGTGAAAACAACATATAACTCAACAGTGAATAATATCTGGATAGCCATAATCATGTCAATATTACTGATTGAATTAAAAAGTGTGCTACAATTGAAAGAAACAGAGGGAGAAAAATAAGGTCATGGTTAGCAAGGAAGATAAGCTTTCACCTGCTGTGACAGAGGGTCAATACACCATACTGACAATTAACTTAGCTCTTTTTGTTGTTTCATTAAAAATAAGACTAAATATTTAAAGCAGATCTTTATACCACAACCAAGTATTGAAATTTAACTTACGTGTCAGAAATCCTTAAAAGGTGGGCACACTAAGCTGAAGATTTTTTGGGATAAATTTGATAGGAAAGTAGAAGAGATTCAGAAAATCCATGAAACGAGGTCCACTCTATCACCACTGGGTCCCCATTATAATAAAAAGTAATCAAAACAGACATACTTTTACATCAAACAATCAATTCCTAAACTTTTTGACTGTTTACTTACATGGTTTCTAAGGCTGTTTTCTCCTATTTCTTGTGCTAAGAATAAAAGAAAAAAAAGGTCACTTCTGACACAAATAATATAAAAGTAGTTGTTAAAATCTTACTGACTACTATGTATAATCAGAAAAAATTCCATTTAAAAAAATTAATTTCAACAATTTATAATTTAAATTTTCTGGCATGATAAATCTCATAAAGTAAAATACAAAAACTCAGATTTATTTTTTGACCTAGGTTACTTTCTGTTTTGTTACATACGAGTGAAATAATGCTCATGTGAAAATAGGCAAAAAAATTAGGCTAGATAAAAAATTTAGCTAACTAAAAAATTTAATTGTTGCATATATGAGCCATGATCCGTTAGTATTCTCCCATTCTGGATTTACATATAGCTTAATTACCAGAATCTAAGAGCTAACAGCTCTAAGAACTACTTGCTGGCCAGGCACCTATCTCTAGATGCATCAGAATTCCTGTAAGACTCTTACACTCTCTAGTGGTCATCTACTAATATGTCACTAAAACAAACAAACAAACAAACAAACAAACAAACAAACAAACAAAAACGGGGTCTTTACACAACTGAAAAGTAACCAATCTTAAATTTAATCTTTTTTTTTTTGATATAAAGGAGTCTCCCTCTGTCACCCAGGCTAGAGTAAAATGGTATAACTTTGGCTTACTGAAACCTCCGCCTTCAAGGTTCAAACGATTCTCCTGCCTCAGCCTCTGAGTAACTGGGATTAGAGGTGCACCATACCATGCCCAGCTAGTTTTTGTTTTAGTAGAAACAAGGTTTCAGCATTTTTGTCAGGCTGGTATCGAACTCCTGACCGCCTGATCCATCCACCTCCACATCCCAAAGTGCTGGGATTACAGGCATGAGCCACCACACCTGGCCAAATTTAAATGTTTAAAAAAGTAAACAAATTTGGATATGGTGTCTGCAGCAAAAAAAAAAAAGAAAAAAGGCAGAATAGTAAGAGCTTCAAGAGGGATTTGGGCCTTGCTTTGTTTCTTATACTGCCTCCACCTTTAGTGCTGGAAGGGCCTTGTAGGCAAACATTCCCATCACTGAAGTGTGAGAGACATGGAATAGCTTTTCTTTTTTCTGCTTTCATGCTCTCCAGGTGTGATAAGCCCATGTCTCTGAAAGTAAGTGGAAAATACACCACTGATATGGTTTGGATATGTCTCCCTCTCCAAATCTCAGGTTAAAATGGGACCCTTAATCCTGAGGACAAGGCATAGTGAGAAGTGTTTGGATAACAGTGGAGCATTCCTAATAAATGGCTTGGTGCCATTCCCATGGTAAAAAGCAAATTCTGATTTTGGTATTAAACCAAAATGAGTTTTTCTTTTTGTTTGTTTATTTAAACAAAATGTTTTATTGAGAGAGAGAGACAGAGACAGAGAAACAGAGAAGAGAGAAAGCTTCCACGAGAGAGTGTGGAAGTAAGATCCCAGAGGGAAAATCCAAGAAGGAGAAAAGACCTCCGACTATGTTGGATAATATGAGTTTTTCTAAAAAGTTTTTATAATACATCTGATCAAACAAGATTTTTCACTCTTTGTCTTGGCAGAAAAAACAATGTTGTCTCACTACCTGTTTGGGATGTCCATGTTTCAGAAGAGCTCAACTCCAAGGAACTATCTATAAAGAAAAAATACATAATCACTTATAATAATTTATCACCTCATTTATTCAAAAGGAAGGTACATGTCTCACTACCTGTTTGGGATGTCCATGCTTCAGAAGAGTTCAACTCCAAGGAACTATCTGTAAAGAAAAAATACATAATCACTTATAATAATTTATCACCTCATTTATTCAAAAAGGAAGCCATCTCACTACCTCTACTTTTATTCTTATCCATTGGGAAAAGGGACATAAAATTAAACATAAAGATAAATCCAAGACTCCTCTACTACATGAAAAATTGTGTTGATAAATAGATGGGAAAATCAATGAACAAAAAGTTGATATGTTTTCACTAACATGATAACAAGCAAAGTATATCACATGTTAAAAAAAACACAAGTGAATATGTAAAAATTTCATAATTTTAAACAAATATGAGTTTTCCTAAACGCTTTCTATTATACACCTCATCAAACAAGAGTTCTCACTCTTTTTCCTGGTGGAAAAAAAACAACGTTGTCTCACCATCTGCTGAGTATTTCCTTCCTTCTGGATGATCAGAAGGGTCAGACTCCAAGCCCTATCTATACAGCAAGAAAAGAAAAAATATGTAATCATTTCTAACAATTTATCAACTCATTTATTCGAAAAAGAAGCCATTTCCTACCCCTACTTTTATTCTTATCCATTGGAAAATGGACCAAAAATTAAACATAAAGATAAATCTAAGACTCCTCCACTACATGACAAATTGTATTGATTAAAGATAAGAAAATGCATGAACAAAAGTTGACGTTTTCACTAACACGATAACAAGCAAAGTATATCACATGTTAACATAACACAAGTGAATACGTGAATATTTTAAAAATTTAAACCAATATGAGTTCTGCTAAACTCTTTCTATAATACACCTCATAAAACAAAAGTTTTCACTCTTTTCCTGGTGGAAAACACACTGTTGGCTCACCAACTGCTTGAGATTTCTTTGTTTCTGAATGATCAGAACGGTCGGACTCCAAAACGCTATCTGTACAGAGAAAAAAGAAACAAGATGTGATCATTATAACAATTTATCAACTCATTTATTGAACAAGAAAAACATCTCACTACCTCAACTTTTACTCTTATCAATTGGAAAAAGAAACAAAGAATTAAACATAAAGATGAATCTAAGACTCCTCCATTACATGACAAATGGTGTTGATATAAAGATGGGGAAATGTATTTTTAAAAAGTGGACATATTTTCACTAACATAACAATTAAAGAAAAGTGTATCACGTTAACATAACACAAGTGAATATGTAAAAATTTTAGAAATTTACAACAATATGAGTTCTGCTAAACACCTTCTATTATACACCTCATCAAACAAGAGTTTTCACTCTTCTTCTTGGTAGAAAAGAACAATGTTATCTCACCATCTGCTGGATACTTCTTTCCCTCTGGATGATCAGAAGGGTCGGACTCCAAAGCTCTATCTATACATATACAGAGAGAAAGAAAAAAGTATGTAATCACTTATAACAATTTATCAACTCACTTATTCAACAAGGAAGCCATTTCTACACCTACATTTATTCTTATCCATTGAAAAAAGGGACAAAGAATATAAAATAAAGATAAATCAAAGACTCCTCCACTACATGACAAATTGTGTTGATAAAAAGATGGGAATATCTATGAACAATAAGTTGACATGGTTTCACTAACATAACAAGTATATTACATTAAAATACATAGTAAATATATGACAAATTTAAAAATTTAAACCAGTATGAGTTCTGCTAAACTCCTTCTATTATACACCTCATCAAACAAGTTTTCACTCTTCTTCTTGGTAGAAAAAAACAATGTTGTCTCACCATCTGCTGGATATTTCTTTCCTTCTGGATGATCTGAAGGGTCGGACTCCAAAGCTCTATCTATACATACACAGAGAGAAAGGAAAAAGTATGTAATCACTTATAACAATTTATCAACTCACTTATTCGACAGGAAGCCATTCCTACACCTACTTTTATTTTTATCCATTGGGAAGAGAAACAAAGAATTAACATAAAGATAAATCTAAGACTCCTCCACTACAGGACAAATTGTGTTGATAAAAAGATGGAAAATCTATGAAGAATAAGTTGACATGGTTTCACTAACATAACAAGTATATCACATTAAAATAACACAAGTGAATATGTGAACATTTAAAAATTTAAAACCAATATGAGTTCTGCTAAACACCTTCTATTATACACCTCATCAAACAAGAGTTTTCACTCTTCTTCTTGGTAGAAAAAACAATGTTGGCTCACCAACTGCTTGAGATTTTCTTTATTTTTGGATGATCAGAATAGTCGGACTCCAAAGCCCTATCTATACAGAGAGAAAAGAAAAAAGATTGTACATTATAACAACTTATCAACTCATTTATTCGATAAGAAGGCCATTTTAATACCTTACTTTATTCTTATCCATTGAAATCAATGTATAGAAATAAGATGAGGCCAGATGAGGTGGCGCATGCCTGTACTCCCAGCTACGCCAGTAGATGACATAAGAAAATCCCTCAAACCCAAGTCTGGAATTTAGGCCAGCATGAGTGACATAGTGAGACTCTTTTTTATTTAAAAAAGAAAGAGGTAAATGTTCCCTTTAAATTGTGTAAAATCAACTTTGCATAAAATAAATCAAGATGGCAATACATTTTACAAGTGAGGTCTATTTATAGACAAAGTATAAGATGTATTCTGGAGTTTAAAATTTTTTAAAAAGTAAATTCAGCATATTTGTCACTTCCACAACATTCTGAAGACACAGAATATTAGCTCTGTTGAGCAGCTGTCTTCCATAGTCATGTGAGATCTCTGTCTTCATTCTTCATTAGGAATACATAGGGAGAACATACACAAGCCTTCTTTGTATTGGAAGGGGCCAAAGAGACATACATAAACTGTATTGTAATCCTAAGAATAGCAATTAAAGAGCCTTTTTTGTTCTCTAATCCAGCACTACCCATCTATAAACTGTTGTGTAAAATCATTCACAGGCTTTCCTTACACCAGCAACCAGAGTATAAGTTTACACAAGTACTTACACATTTTGTGTATAAAGGTATAATCAACTCACATAATATATTGTTTCTTCAAAATTCTTAAACATCTTGAAAAGCTCAGTATCTACTCCAAGTTTACAAGTCACATTCATCATGAAGGTTAATTATTTCTACCTCTGGAAAAAACTTAAGAGCCCAACACATGCTGTTTTGTTTGTGTGTGTGTTTTTTTTTTTACTTTAAGGTCTGAGATACATGTGCAGAACGTGCAGCCTTGTTAGATATGTAGACATGTGGCCCTGTGGTTTGCTGCACCTATAAACACATCTTACAGGTTTTAACCCCACATGCATTAGTATTGATCTAATGTTCTCTGTCCCTTACACCCACCCAACAATGAACCCCAGTGTGTGATGTTCCCCTCCCTGTGGCCATGTGTTCTCAACTAACACTTACGATAGAGAATATGTGGGGTTTAGTTTTGTTCCTGTGTGTGTTTGCTGAAAACGATGGCTTCCAGCTTCTTATGCTTTACTTTCTTATCTTTAAACAAAATGCTATTGTTAGGTGGGGAATGACTAACAGGGAGCCATGGCAGCAAACACTCTTCCAAGTTTAACCTTCAATATTTATGTTACATTGTAAGTCTACATTGACGTTCATGTCTTTTGAAAGTTTTGACTCACGAACCATCCGTACCTCTCTTTAGAACAAGGAGGGTAATAAAGTCTGTTAAGTCACCAGAATAAATCTAGAGACACATTTTGTGTTAAAGTAAGAATTTTAAACTCATCAGAGCCTCACAGGCAAACTCCTTTGGAGGAAACAAACACCCATTTTCTGCAGCCCTGGCCATGAAATTTCATACCTTTCACAATATTTAAGCACCCTCCCATTTTCTTTCCTTTTGCATTCAAATTACAGTTTAGAAAAAAATAAGCACCTATCAAGGTAAGAGATCGAGACCTCCTGGTCAGATGGTGAACCCCATCTCTACGAAAAATACAAAAAATTAGCCGGGTGTGTGGTGCGCGCTGTAATCCAGCTACTCAGGAGGCTGAGGCAGAATTGCCTGAACCGGAGGCGGAGGTTTGGTGAGCCAAGATTGCATCGTGCACTCCAGCCTGGGTAACAAGAGTGAAACTCCTCTCAAAATAAAATAAAGAATATCCTATCATCTCCCATGGCAACTTCATACTGATTTCAAAAAGAAATCCCAAATATTTCAGCATGAATTGTCCTGAGATTTAGCTACTTTAATGAAGGAAATAATTAGGCACTACCTGGTTCCTTCACTTAGGTACCATCTGGATAGGTACAAAAAAGAATGAGATGGCTACTAGAAAGTTGGTGTATGTTGAGTTTTTATTGAAAAAGGAAGAGTTATTTCATAAAATCCTCAACAAAATCCCACAGAATAATAAACAGAGCTACAGACAAGAAGAGACATAAATAAATGGTCCCAGGCCAGCCTGAGAGAATGAGGGAGCAAGAACTGGGTGTTGGAGAGAGGAGGAAAATGACTGGACTCCGTGGAGAAAGACTAAGTGGTTGAAAAAGGAACACAAGGCAGAGTAAGCTATGTTTCTGACCAGCCCTGGAAAAGCTGGCTACAGGCAAAAAGGAGCCTGGGGTAGGGAATGGCCCCCAGGGGACCTTGAAGACAGCAGCAGCCAAAGGGGGTGGCCAGGGCATATGGCACCATCACCTCCTTACCTTCGGCATCTCCCCATCACAGATGTCATGCACAGGAAGTCTCACCAGCTTCAACAGTCCACTCGGCTAGTTCTATGGCAGCAGCCGTGGGCGCTGCTGCTGTCGTGTCTCAGCTGTTGCTTCACAGATTTTCGACTCTGGAGGACACCCGACACCTGCATCATCGTCCGAAATGGGGCACACACAGCAGCACAGTTTGTTCCCCATGGGGCACCTCTACTCCTGTCTGCCGCCACTGTGCCTCCACTCAGTGTTGGCCAGGCACTCCTGCTGCCCTAGGCCGAGGCTGTGCCGCACTTTCAGAGATGGCCTTGCCTGTGCTCACCTGCCCACACCACGCCCCGGCTAGGCGGGCCCAAGGCCGCACCACCGCCGCCTCTCCTAAGTTGACTTGTCTGGGAGGGTCACAAACAGCTGGCTAATTTAATAGGTTGGGAACCCAACAAGCGCCAAGTGATACAACTGCTGGAAGAGAGTTCAAAAGGAGGTACTCCCTCTGCAGTCACCTACAGACTGAAGCCCACTGGCCACAGTGGAATCCCAGGCACGTGACTCACATTGCCCCACCCCACACCTCACAATGCCCACCCTGGCTGCCACCCCTCCCACTGCCCGGCTGCCCCACCCTGTGGCTTATGATGCCACTGCTCTCCTGGCCCCTCCTTCAGTGCCAGTGGAACTAAGTTTTCCATTTATCACCCGCCAGCTTCCTGAGCTTTTTAGTCCTAAAAACAGGGTGGTTCATTACTGGAAGCCATCTTCCTCTAGGAGTTCTATACAAAGTGGCAGTTAGCAGAGTGGGTCCCATTAGCAACCAAGTTGAACTTTTATTTGTTGACTCAATGTAGATACACCTGAAATATTCCTCTCCTGTCTTCCAATGAGTGTAGTTTTTGTCTGCAACTTGTCCACAGCAATCCCTGGGGCCCTAGCTCTACTCTCACTAAAGACTTATGGTGTCTTGAATGAACCTTTAATCATCCTGCCTCCACCTCCTTCTCCATAAATAGAAACCTAACTTGTCCCCCCAAGCTCTAAAGTACTGAAACTTACCAACTTCCTTTTCCTGTTTCTTCCTTCCATGGCAGGGACTTTTAGATTTCTCTCTTTTACTAACAAAGCATAAGCATGACTTTGTTACACAAAATCAAGAGCCATAAGGTGGGTTACCACAGTGCTAACTCAATAAAAATGAATACTGCAAGGTTCTTACTTTGCTGGATAGAACACATGTTAAAAAAAATGATACTGAACACCTAGCAGCAGTATGTGCCTGACAGTGTTCCAAGTGGCTATGCTCATTTGCCCTCAGAAACAATCACCAGTTTTAGAGAAGACACTAAGAGGAGAAGGTAAGTATCTCCCCAAGGTCACATGACTGCCCAGCCTGAGGCCATTATTTGATCTCAGGTAGTATGAATTCCCCAATTCCTCAAGTGTGATTATCAGAAAGTGCAGTATTCCATTTTCACACTGCTATAGAGAAATATTTAGGTTGGGTAATTTAAAGCAAGAATTAATTGACTCACATTCCACATGGCTGTGGAGGACGGAGGAAACTTACAATCCTAGCAGAAGAAGGGAAGCAGTTACTTCTTACAAGGCGGCAGGCCAAAGAGTGTGAGCATGTGAAGGAGGAACTGTCAAACACATATAAAACCATCAGATCTCATGAGAACTCACTATCACAAAAACAGCATGTGGGAAACCGCCCCCATGATCCAATTACCTCCCACAGAGTCCCTCCCTCAACATGTGGGGGTTTTGGAGATTACAATTCAAGATGAGATTTGGGTGGGGACATGACCAAACTGTATCAGAAAGTACAGGTAGAAGCCAACCTTGGAAGGGAAGTGATATTATAGACTGGCATTTTTTTTTAAATGATTTTTTTAATGTGAACTTTAAAATGCCTCCTCTTCATTCAACATTGATGAAGTCCCTTCTACATGCCAGACACTGTATGTGTAAACAGTCCAAAATTTCAATGAGGGTAGGCAGATACACAACAAAGGCTTACGAAGTTGTTTTCTGAGATCACACTACTGGACAGTGTAGGAATCTGAGATACAAACCCACCTCAATTTGACACTGCGGTGGTTTTAATTTTATTCTGAAAATTTGAGTCATTGAACCATACAAAGTTGAGGAGTCTCTTCAGATGTGGTGTAGTGGTCTGTATAATAAGGAAGGACTGAAGAAAGCAACAGACCAATTAAGAGACTATCTAAAGGAAGACTGATGCAAAAGGCAGTGCGGCAGTGACAAAAGTGGAGGAAAAAATTTGTGATTATTAAGGAGACAGAATAGGAAGTACTTATCATGAGATGTGAAAGCAGCAAAGTAGAGGGAAAAACAGGGCTGCTCGGGCTCTGTTGGGGAAGACCGGGTACAGAGTTGTACCTTTCTCCTGTCAGAGAATGTAGGAAGACAAATAGATAAAAAGGAAAAAGGCAGTTTTTTTTACGCTCAGTGTCACATTAAAAGGAACTCTCTGGTCAAAGTTGAATATAAATCTCTGGGGGCTAAGTCCATTGTGACATCCCAACATATGTTTTAAAAATAAAACACATACTAAATCAAACCATTTAGAGTAATGGGAAAATTCCTAAAATTTACATGCTAAGTATATCACCATTTTTTCTTACTTTCATGGAGCAACTGAATCTATGGTTATAGCAAATGAGGGATCTTACAAGAATAAAGGTAATATTTTAAAATTTAAAATTCTATTGTCCTCAGTGAGAGAACAACTGAAGCCATGGGCATGGAAGTGATTGCCCTGAGAGGTTGTGTATACTAAGAAGAACTAGAAAGAAGACCTGGAGAATAGGGGGATACAATTAAGCAAAGCTCGCAAAAGTGCGAACTTGGAGTCAAGAGACTGGCCTTTGAATCAGAAATGGCTGCATTTGTGAGACACTGGAAAGGAGATGATGTCTGATTTCATTTCTGTAACAGCAGCACCTAGCTTTTACGCTTTTATAGTAAAACACTGAAACATATATTCATGATATTAAGGTGTGAAAAAGCTTCAGAGTTTAAAAAATTGGTAACAATAAAAGGAAAACCTATATAATTGGACAATATCAAAATTGGTAAGTTCTATCACCAATAGACACTATTAGGAGATTTCAAAAGTAACCCTCAGTAGAAATATAATCTACATATATAATATCTAAATACACACATGCATACAAACATCTACATATTGAACACAAAATAAGATTTATATAAAAACATCAAGAATTTTTTAAATCATTAAGAAAAATACAAATAACCCAACAGAAGACACATGGCCCAATAAACATATGTGAAGGTGCTCTGTGAAGAAGTTATTGAAAAATACAAGACAAAATCTCAATGTAATACTACTATACCCATGCCAGAAAATAAAAATGCAAAAAGGCAGAAAGCACCAAGTATAGAGAAGAAGGTGAATTTCTGGAACATTCATTTACTGCCAATGAAGAGTGTAAACAGGCAAAATCACTTTGAAAAACTGACAGCATCTTTATACATCAGCATAGCCTATAACCCAGGAATCTCTCTCCTACACATTTTTCCAACAAAAATGAATAAATGTTCACCAATAAAAGCATACATCAAAATCTTCAAAATAGTGCATACTCTAATAGCCAGAAACTGGAACCAACCTAAATGCCCATGAACAATAAGATAAGTTGTAGTATTTTCACACAAAGGAATATGATACAATAAGAATAAAGAAACAATAACTCACAAATACATATTAATGAAAAGAAGCCAGACAAAAACTAGTACATGTTTATGGGTTCATTTATATAAAGTTCTTGCAGAGTAAGAGAATGACTGAAAGGAACAGGAAGGCACTGTTTCTTTTAAAAAGGAAGACTTACTATAAAAACAATGTCAGCAGAAATAAACAGTGGATGGAACTAAACGTGTCAGAAGTGACACAGTTGATGTACATTCTATCTAGTGAAAGCTCCTTATCTGACCTGGACTGGAAGAAGCAGTGTTGTAGAGACCAAGAAAAGTGAGAATATGCTAAAGGTCTTTGGGTTAAGTTAGAGATACTATTTGAACTACTTTGGGGAAGTGGCGGAAAAAGAAAAATTTAAATAAAAATATAAGATGGAAGAATAAAGTCCAAGTATATCAAGAAATGCAAATTTAAACTTAAACTCACTAAGTTAAAAAAAAAGACAAATTGACAAATGTTAACAAAATAAGCTATTTGCTATCAGTAAAACGGGTTGATAGTAAAAAGAGGAAAAAATATAAATAAAACTGGTAAGGTTTATTAATATTTAAGAAAAAGTCTGAAACAAAAGCACAATTAGAGAAGATCACTAATAATGATGGAAAGTCCAATTCACCAAAAAAAAAAAAAAAAAACAAAACACAAAAATTCTGAACAGTACACACCTAACAAAATAGCCTAAATTTATACAAAACAAAAAATTCACAGAACTTCAAGCAAAAATGGTAACTCCAATATCACGTAGGAGAATTCAACACACTGTCTCTCAGCTTTTGCCATCAATTCTCTACCCGTTCTCAGACTTTGTCTTCTCTTTAGATCAGAAACACTTGTCTTGTTCCAAAGCACAGAATGAATGTTTTTGTTGTTTCCCATACCATATACATAAACCTACTGAACAAGGAGGAAACTCATGGATCTTAAGGACTAAAGGTCAATCCAGATGCATTCTGAACTCTTTTAGAGATAGCTATTTGTGGATTAAACAATAAACTCAAGATTGTTAGCCTCCTAAAACTGTCAGGTACTAAGTGGTACACTGCTGCCATCTGCGGACACTGTGTTTCATTTGCAGGTCAATTATGTTGCCTTAAAAGTCCTAGTAAGAGAGGTCTAAACTGTCCCCTTTCTGCAGCCTCCTTTATCTAATGAGATGAAGATACTCTCTCTAGATTAAATGGTTGTATACAAGGTTGTTGATAGAGGTTTAAAAAAGGTTTGTGCTATTTAAGCCTCTGGTAACAATGACTTTTTTTAATAAAGGATTATAGGAGTATAGAAAATATACTGGCTGAACTCCACTGGAATTTAATATATCCATAAAGACTACCAATTTGCCATACAACTATTGGAAAATCATATTTCTTATACTGAATAATGCAATGAGTCACTTTAAACATACCAATTATACTTTACCTATATGGCATATTATCCACATTACTTGCTGGTTTCTTAAAATATGCCACACTAAATTCAAGGTAGGTCTTCTAACACTTGCCCATACCTTGGTTCTCCTTGCCTTCAGGCACACAGGAAGATTACATTTCCTGTCCTTTAGTACTTAGGTGGGACCACATGATTAGTTTGGTCAAAAGATCATGAATGGAAGTGCCAAGTGTTGCTTGCAGGCCAATGCAAGTAATATATGTGTGAGACCCTCTGGCACTCTCTTCCTCTGCCATAGGTGACAAGAAGGACCTCAAAAGATGGTTCAAGCCCCAAATCAAAGCAGCTTAGATCACTAAAGGCAGCTGCCCTAGAGGAGCTGTCCAGACCCACAACAGACTTTCTAAGAGTAAAAAACAAACTTTTACTGTGTTATCCCACTGAGAGATGGCACTTCAATGTTGCCCTCAGTAAGAGCACAGGCCAAGGTTTCTCAACAGCAGCACTACTGCCATCTTAGGCTAGATAAATAATTCATTGGTGGTCTCTGTCCTATGCACTGTGGGATGTTAAACAACATCCCTGCCATCTACCCACTAGATACCAAGAAGCCCTCATCATATTGACAACCAATACCACCTTTCGTCATTGAGCTTCTCCCACTATCTTTGAGAGCCACTGGCATAGATTAACCTACTAATATAGTATGTACATATTTATGTATGATGACGAATATCTATGTAAACATGTTGAGTATATTTAAGGCAAATGTCATATAGTTCTCATGCTTTATTTCTCGAGGGTCAGATATTTTATAGGCTCTTAAGAAAATATGAATTCCATTTCTCAAAGTAG